GCTGGCAGTGATGGGTATTCTCTGGCTACATCCCTTGCTACTTATATGAGAAACTTAAGGGGTAAGTTTACAATGTTGATGTTATGTGACACAAATGAGAATCTTTCAAGAAAGATTCTTGAAGCACTTTTTTATGATATGAAGCCTTATAACTGTCCCATGAGGTAAGTCCGTTTCACTGATGGAGAGACTGAGTCAGAGAGATTAAGTTTCCTAAGGTTACTCTAGTGAATCCATGAAAATGAAAATGGAAGTGATAAACTGTGGGGATCCTGTCTCCTGACAGTTTGTTTTGATTACAAGATGACACTTTGAACCTGACCAGTTCATGAAAGAGATCCCATGTGGTGGTTTCCTGTGATAGCAAGCACTAAACTAGATATAGGTCCAGTGAGTCTGTTTCAGTCCTGTGTTCTGCTAACAAAAACTAGAGTCTGTATTTTAGTTCAGTCTACAGAACGGTGCTTAAATTCCAGTGAAAATAAGACATCTGAAACAATTCACATTTTATGATGACAACATTAGAAGACAGTTTATTTATCATGTGACTGTAGTTTTCACTGAAACCAGCAAGAACTGTGCCCGTTTATACCTAGGCTGTTTTTTTCCATTACTGTTCGCAAATGGCAATTTATACTTGTTCTGATAATAACAGGATTTGTAATTACCCTCTGTTTGCATCACTATCCTGAATAATTGCAGCCTTTAGTATTATTTTACCATATTGTTTTCATGTCACTCCTTGTATTTTTGTCAACTCACATTTAGCCTGTCAAGGCAGCTTTCAAATTCTACACAAACCAGCAATACTGGGCATTTCTGTGAAATATGACATGGAAGCTAAGCTTGGCAGCTTGTGAAGAGGAGCTGGTGTTCCGCAAGGCTGGTCCCATGTCATGATGGTTCATTCAGTAACAGCTGTGAGAGTTTCCACTTTCGTGCCTGGGTAGGAAAGTGAATTTGTTAGTCCATTGAAATCAGTGCAACGGGAACAATGCTCTCTTCTTTAACACTGTCGTTCTCATTTATACAGGCATTGCACTTTAATGGTTGGAGATGAGAATAGTGGAAGGAGACTTTAAGAATATAGTGATAGGTGCATTAGAAACACCTCCAGCAGAATGCATCAAACTTCTCTGTCACTGTCTTTCTCCTATACTCAAATAGTTTCCTTTTCCTTGTGCCTGAGTGTTTGCTTTCTGCATGGAACTGTGTAATAGCAGTTCTGTCCTTCTGGCGCTTTACTGTATAGGGAATTCTGTCTTAAAGAAATTTCTAATTTTTTTTCTTCCTCGTTTTCTTTTTCTCTCCATATCATAGAAAATTAGGGTTGGAAGGGACCTCAGAAAGTCATCTAGTCCAACCCCCTGTTCAAAGCAGGACCATCCGCAACTAGATTGTCTCAGCCAAAGCCTGGTCTAGCTGGATCTTAAAACCCTCCAAAGATGGAGATTACACAGCCTCGCTCAGTAGCCTGTTCCAGTACTTTACTACCCTCCTAGTGAGAAAATTCTTCCAAACATCTAACCTAAACTTCTGTTCCTGCAACTTGAGACCATTGCTCCTTAGATTCATAGATGCTAGCGTCATAGTCTCATAGTTTCATAGTTAGTAGGGTCGGAAGGGACCTGAGCAGATCATCAAGTCCGCCCCCTGCCATGGGCAGGACAGGATGCTGGGGTCAAATGACCCCAGCCAGGTGATTATCTAGCCTTCTTTTGAAGACCCCCAGGGTAGGAACGAGCACCGCTTCCCTTGGAAGTTGGTTCCAGATCCTAGCTGCCCTGACTGTGAAGTAGTGCCTCCTGATGTCTAGCCTGAATCTACTCTCAGTCAACTTATGGCCATTATTCCTTGTTACTCCCGGTAGTGCTCGGGGGAATAGGGACTCTCCCGTAGCTTCCTGGTCCCCCTTGCCAAGTTTATAGTATAGATGGCCACCAGATCCCCTCTCAGCCTTCTCTTGTGGAGGCTGAACAGGTTCAGGTTGCACAGCCTCTCCTCGTAGGCCCTGCCCTGCTGCCCCCTGATCATGCGGGTGGTCCTCCTTTGGACCCTCTCAATGCTGTCCACATCCCTCCTGAAGTGCGGCGCCCAGAACTGGACGCAGCACTCCAGCTGCGGCCTGACCAATGTTGCATAGAGGGGGAGGATCACCTCCTTGGACCTGCTCGTGATGCATCTGTGGATGCATGACAAGATGCGGTTAGCCTTGTTCATCTTGTAATCAATAACGACTCCGAGATCTTTTTCTGCCTCTGTGCTGACAAGAAGGGAGTTCCCCAGCCTGTAGGTATGCTGCTGGTTCTTCCTCCCCTAGTGCAGTACCTTGCACTTGTCAGTATTGAAACCCATCCTATTCTCACCCCCCCCCCCCTGTACCCCGTCCAGATCTAGTTGTAGCCTGTCCCTCTCTTCCAGCGTGCCCACTTCCCCACACCTTAGTGTTATCTGTGAATTTGAACAAGGTGTTTTTCACCCCCTCGTCCACGCTGCTGATGAAGATGTTGAACAGTGCAGGCCCGAGGACCAAGCCCTGGGGAACCCCACTGCCCACATCCCTCCAGGTCAAAAATTACCTGTCCACCACCACTCTCTGGGTTCGGCCCTCCAGCCAATTAGTGACCCATGTGACTGTGTAGGCATCAACACCACAGTCGTCTGATATATTTTTTTTTTTTATTTAATTTTTTTTAATGAGAATGGGGTGAGAGACAGTGTTGAAGGCCTTCCTAGAGTCCAGAAAGACTACGTCCACTGCGGCACCTGCGTCCAAGGATTTTGTGACCTGGTCGTAGAAGACAACCAGGTTGGTATGACAGGACCTGCCTCTAATGAACCCATGTTGATTGCCCCTAAGCATAATCTCCCCCACTGGTCCCTCGCAGATGTGGTCCTGGATAATTTTCTCAAAGTGCTTTCCCAGGACCGAGGTAAGACTAATGAGCCTATAGTCTCCTGGGTCCTCCCTCCCTTTTTTGAAAATGGGGACCACATTGGCCCTTTTCCAGTTCTCTGGCACCTCGACAGAGCACCACAACTTCTTGTAAAGCTGTGCCAGGGGTCCTGCAATGACCTCTGCCAATTCCCTCAGCACTCTGGGGTGAAGATCATCAGGACCTTCTGATCTGAACACGTCTAGTCCCACCAGAAGTTCCCTGACTAGGTCCTCACTGACCCTGGGCCTGGCTGTCTCTCCCCTGGGCCTGTCCGGGGTCCCAGTGCGGGGGATGTTCTGGTCCCTGCTCAGAAAAATGGAGGCAAAGAATTTGTTAAAGGTTAGCTTTGTCATCTGGTGCGACCGCCAGATTCCCAAGCGTGTCCTGCAGAGGCCCCACGTTACCCAGTACCTTCTTTTTACCCTCTGTGTATTTAAAAAAGGATTTATTGTTATCTTTGATCCAGGTTGCTAGTCCCAGTTCTGTCTCTGCCTTAGCCTTCCTAACAGCCCCGCTACAATCTCGAGCAATGGAGGTATAATCCTCCTTGGTGATGGCCCCTCCCTTCCATTGGGTGTATGCCTCTTTTTTAGGTTTGAGACGTCCCTGGATGCTTTTGGTAAGCCATGGGGGCTATTGAGCACTCTTGCCCCCTTTGATCCGCGTTGGGATTGTCACCCTTTGGGCTTGGAGGATCGTCTCCTTAAGGAATGACCACCCTTCCTGGACTCCCAACTCCCCTCCGGGACCTTAGTGCTTCCCTGACAAGTCTCCTTACATCATTGAAATCTGCCCCCCTGAAGTCCAGGGCTGCTGCCTTGCTGCAGGCCTTTGACACCCTGCGCTGGATGGTGAATTCCAGCAGGCGATGATTGCTATTGCCCAGGTGGTTGAGAACCTGCAGTCCCCTCATCAGGTCATCTCCCATGGCCAGGACCAGGTCTAACAGGGCATTTCCCCTGGTGGGACTGTGCACTTCCTGGGTTAGATGGAGGTCCTGTAACTCGTCTAGGAACCTCTGTGAGTGGTTGGATCTGGCTGACTGTTCTTCTCAACAGATGGTTAGTTTAGGTCACCCATGATGACGACGTCCCTTGACTTAACTGCCTCCGTGAGCTGACCTGAGAATTCCCGGTCCAGCTCTTCCCCCTGGTTGGGTGGCCTGTAGTAGACCCCCACCGTTAAGTCCCTTTCCCCCCGACCCCCGTGTATTCTGACTCAGAGCACTTCAGTCTGCCCCTCCTCTGACCCAGTGCTGTTTGCTGAGGATGTGTAATGCTCTTTGACATAGAGCGCCACACCCCCACCTTTCCTCCCTGTTCTATCCCTCCTGTACAGCCTATAGCTCTTGATGTTTACCGCCCAGTCGTGTGTTGGATCCCACCAAGTTTCAGTGAGCCCCACTATGTCTGGGTTTGTGTTAGCTAGCAGGAGGGCAAGTTCCTCCTGCTTGTTCCCCATACTACAAGCATTAGTGTAGAGGCATTTAAGGCCTCCTGAGGGTGTATGCACTGCCCCCCTAATCCCAGGACTATCTGGGCCCCTGTCTCTTACCTGGTTACTTCTTGTGCTCGTCGCCTATCTTGGCTGGGCTGTTCTTGTGGGTGTCTCTTGGTTCGGTGTTCTGTGGCTCCCTCCGTCCTCATCCTCCCTGATGAACCTATTTTAAAGCCCGCTGGAGGAGATCAGCCAACCTGAGAGAGAACACACGCTTACCTTTGGGGGAGAGGGGAAATCCATCCCACCCAAGCATGTCTCTGAAGTATGGGTCGTGGTCCAAAAAGCCAAAGCCCGCCTCGAGACACCATTTCCGAAGCTGCAAGTTGACCTCCCTGATGCAGATCTCATGGTGTCATCCACACCTGCTCACTGGAAGGACAGATGAGAAGACCACCTGTGCCCCTATCTCCTTCCAGGTTGGAAGGAACATCAACAGATCATCAAGTCTGACCCCCTGCCTAGGCAGGAAAGTGTGCTGGGGTCAGATGACCCCAGTCAGATCCCTATCCAGCCTTCTCCTTAAAGACCCCCAAGGTAGGGGAGAGTATTACTTCCCTTGGAACCCCATTCCAAACTCTGGCCACCCTTACCTTGAAGAAGTTTTTCCTGATGTCTAGCCTAAATCTGCTCTCTGTCAGTTTGTGACCATGGTTCTTTGTTACCCCAAGAGGTGCCCTGGTAAACAGATCATCTCCGATCCCTTGCTATGCCCCCTAATGAATTTGTAGATGGCCACAAGATCACCTCTCAGCCTTCTCTTGTGGAGGCTGAAGAGATCCAGGGTCCTCAATCTCGCTTTGTAGGGTTTTGCTTGCAGGCCCCTATCCATACAAGTGGCCCTCCTCTGTTGAACCTCATGAGATTTCTTTTGGCCAAATCCCATGTCACTGAATCTTAGCCCTACCCTCCAGCATATCTACTACTCCACCCAGCTTGGTGTCATCTGCAGACTTGCTGAGGGTGCACATCTATGCCATCTTCCAGGTTGTTGATGAAATCCTTGAACAAAAACGGCCCCTGGACTGACCCCTAGGGCACTCCACTTGATACCAGCTGCCAACTAGACATCGAGCCATTGATTATTGCCTCTGGTCCCAATGCTCCAGCCAGTTTTCTGTTCACCTTACAGTTCATTCATCCGGCCCATACATCCTTAGCTTGCCTGCAAGAATGTTGTAGGAGACTGTCAGAAGCCTTGCTAAAATCAGGGTATATCACATCCACTGGTCTCCTCATGTCTACAGAGTCCGTCATCTCATCATAGAAGGCAGTCAGGTTTGTCAGGCATGACTTGCCCTTGGTGAATCCTAATCACCACCTTCTCCTCCAACTGCTTGGAAATGGATTCCTTGAGGATCTGCTCCGTAATTTTTCCAGGGATCAAGGTGAGACCAAATGTTCTATAGTTCCCTGGATCCTCCTCCTTCCCTTTCTTAAATATGGGCACTATGATGGGCCCTTTCCAATCATCTGGGACCTCTCCTGATCACTATTAGTTTTCAGAGATGGTGGCCAATGGCTCTGCAGTCACATCAGTCAACTCCTTCAGCACTCTTGGGTGCATCCCATCCAGCCCCATGGACTTGTATATGTCCAACTTTTCTAAATAGTTCCTAACCTGTTTTTTTGCCACTGTTGGCTGCTCACCTCCTCCCCGAACTGGTGTCTGGTGACGTAGTCTGAGAGCTGAACTTGCCTGTGAAGACTGAGGCGAAGAAGGCATTGAGCACTTCAGTCTTTTCTGCATCCTCTGTCACAGGTATGTCTCCCCCATTCAGTAAGGGACCCAGACTTCCCTTGATCCTCCTCTTGTTACCGACATACTTCTAGAAACCCTTCTTGTTCCCCTTCAGATCCCTTGCTAGCAGCAACTCCAGTTGTGCTTTGGCCTTCCTGACTTCATCCCTGCATGGCCAAGCAATGCTCTTATACTCTTCCCTAGTTATTTGTACAAGTTTCCACTTCTGATAAGTTTCCTTTTTCTGGTTTAGTTTCCTGAAGAGTTCCCTGCTAAGTGAAGCTGGTCTTCTGCCATACTTGCTGGTCTTCCGGCTCGTCGGGATGTTTTGTTCCTGCACTCTTCATAAGGCTTCTTTAAAGTACAGTTAGCTCTCCTGCTGGACTCCTCTCTGGCTTCCCAGGGGATCCTGCCTATGAGTTTCCTGAGTAAGTCAAAGCCTGCTTTTCTGAAGGCTTGGGTGCTTACTCTGCTGCTCTCCTTTCTTCAGGATCCTGAACTCAATCATCTCCTGGTCACTGCTGCCCACTTTGCCATCCACTACTACATACCCCAGCACTTCTTCCCTGTTTGTGAGCAGCAGGTCAAGAAGAGCATGGTCCCTAGTTGGCTGCTGCAGCATTTGCACCAGGAAGTTGTCCTCGACACATGCCAAAATCTTTCTGGATTTCCTGCGCACTACTGTAGTGCCCTCCCAGCAGATGTTAGGATGATTGTCTTCCCCCATGAGAACCAAGGCTTGTTATGGGGAAACTTGTGCCAGCTGTTTGAAGAAAGCCTCATCCACCACTTCCTCCTGGTCTGGTAGTCTGTAGCAGAACCCCACCACAGCATCACCTTTGTTGCTTTCCCTTCTGTCCTTAACCCAGACTCTCAATAGGCTTATCTCCAGTTTCATACTGGAGCGCTGAGCAGTCATACAGCTCTTTTACATACAGTGCAAATCCTCTTCCTCTTCTCCCCTGCTTGTCCTTCCTGAACAGTTTGAACCCATCCATGACAGTGCTCCAGTCATGCGAGCTCCCACCAAGTCTCTATTATTCCAGTCACATCATAGTTTGGTGACTGCAAGGAGTTTTGGTTCTTCCTGCTTGTTTCCCAGGCTCTGTACATTTGTGTACAAAGACCTGAGGTAACTAGTTGATTTCCCTGATTTCTCAGGATGTATGAGAGTACCTCCCCTCTTGCCACCTCCTTCTTGCTTTTGCTCCAGGTCTTCTGCTTCCCCACTTACCTCAGGGCTTTGGTCTCCATCTCCTGGCGAGCCTAGTTTAAAGCCCTTGTCACTAGGTTAGCGAAGATGCTCTTCCCTCTCTTTATCAGATGGATCCCATCTCTTTCCAGCGATTCTTCTTCTTTGAACAACATCACATGGTCGAAGAAGCCAAAGCCCTGCTGGCGACACCACCTGCACAGCCAGGTATTGATCTGTAGGATGCAACCGCTCCTGCCTGGGCCCTTTCCTTTGACCTGAAGGATTAACAAGAACGTGGCCTGAGCCCCGCACCCCTTCACCCTTGTACCCAGAGCCCTGTAGTAGTGAAATATGTTTTATTTCAGGCTGGGGGGGGGAGATTGGAAATACAGTTTCAACGTTCTGCTATGTTTTTGAAAGAAGAGATCTCATCCTAACTGCAGGAAACATTGGAGGTTAATGACATCAGGTTTAATGCATCCCTTGCTTCTGTTGGAGATGGAAATGGAATTCATATGGGATTCCAGGCTAGCAATTGTTGTTCAGTGTTGAGTCTGATTCCAGCCCCTGTAGAACTGGTTCAGTTTTCTTTTTCCACTTGGGCGTAAGGTGAGCCTATAACCAGTGCCAGCTTTTTTGCACATATGTGACCTTCCTTGCTTCTTAGTGCAGGAGAACCCATGTTTTTCATGGCTGAAGGTAGTGGTTCTTCTGTCACTGGGTACATTTTAGTTCTTGATGTCTATGAGAGAGAGAGACGGTTAGTTCAGTGGCTGAAATGCTACTGCTAGTTTACAAAAAGCAGATTTAGATGTTCTGCCTCAGGAACCTGAAAGCAGCAATTGTTTGCAGATGCCCTCATCTCTTAGATTCAATTTGAAAAAGAAGAGTCCTATCTCAAGATAGCATATACCTGAATAAAACCATGCTGGTTTCATACGTGGGGAATAACCCTGCTGTTCATCTTGTCTGTTTTGTTTAGATCACTGGCAGTCTGATCTGCTAATGTAGAATTATATAAAACCCTCTAATTCCTTTTAAAAACGCTAACGTTCTGCCAATCCTGAAACTCCTACTGAGTTTCACATTCTAACTGTTTCTTATACTGTACAATACAGTACTGACTCATCTGGTTTTTGGGAGCAGGATTTTAATATTTCCCAACATGACATCAAATATGAATTAGTGTTCTCTCTTCCTGGAAGTAAACATGTTTTGTTTTTGTAACAACCAAGCTAAGATGTCTTCCCCATTTCTGCTGATAGTAGATACGCAAAGGAAAACTAGAGAGAAAATAAGGGGAAATGCACCCTGAACATACTGAGTTGCTGAACTCTTGTCTTCATTACAAGGAAATGAAGAATTGCAAGGATTTATTAAAGGATCTGTTGAGCAGTTAAAGGGAATACATAAAAATGAACAAAACAAGTCATGTAAATGCCATCTACAGTAACATCTGAAGGAGATTAACTAACAAACCTATTGCATAATGGGCAATCAATTGTGGAATGCAAAGGGTACTAGAAGACTGGATGCCAGAAATATGCTTTTGGAAAGTTTACCACTCTTGGTGGTTTGCCATCTGCTAAGTTTAGTTTCTTTCCTTGGAAAAATAATGGGAAAACGTTAAAATGATCAAGCTATACCTAGATGATACATAGGTCCACAGACTTTTGCTGCACAAAACTTAAGACCAACAGAATAATTTTTTTTAATAGAATTACAAAGCTAAGAGAGGAATGGAAAGCTATTCTTAATATCTCTGGAGGTTAGTTATTACTTTATTACAAGAAAGAGTCTAAAACTGGTGAGAATTAATATAAGAGCAAGGTGGGTATAGTCATGGGAATGTACAGTTGGACTAAGTGATGACTGGTAATAATTAAAGTTATGGAAGTTGAATACCAGAAAACGTTTCCTGACAGTGAGAGCCTTCAATCTTTGTAAGTCTCCAGAGGAAGGAGTTAAGTCCTGTCACTTCAGGTATTTTAAAACTAAACCAGGCAGAGCACTAGGAAACATGTAACAGAAAACAAGCCTGGGCTAGTTGATGATTGACTGGCTGATATCCTTATAACCTGAGTTTTGGATTCCCTGCTCCTGACTCTGTGACAGTCCAGAATTAAAATGCATTCCCAGGGCTAGGGTTTGTGAAGGAAAATGAAAGGTAGCATTCTGGTGGTGCTAGAGTAAAAACATTACGTTGCCAGTGTGCACAGAGCATAGATATCAGGTTGACCAAGTGCATTACAGATCTGTTCCATGCAGACAGTTACCAGTTAAGCCAAAATTCATGTATGAACCATACTGGTTTTCCAAGACTCCTGCTGTACTCCACCACTGACTCCCTAGAACCATCTGCAGTTTACAGGTCCAACTCCACATTTCAGCTTCTGCTAGTTTGTGACATATTCCCTATAGACCAGAGGAGTCAAACATATGGTAGTTGGCCCAGATTTGGTACATGGAGTGGGGTTGTCTGGCTCATAGTGCTTCTTACACACGCCTCTTGTAGGCTAGATACAGATACTCTTGGGGCCAGCTATGAAGACTGATGGTAAGGGGAAAAGAAGCAAGTAGCAGCAATGTTAACTCCTTGAATTTGGGAAGCATGGTGAATCCGTGACTGTGGCAGCTACAGGGATTAATGCTACTGCTTGTGGGTTGTCTAGCCCACAGGAGGTCCCACAGTTTGGGTCTGGCCTGCGAGAAGCCGGTGTTCTGGATTCAGCCCGACAGATTTGACACCTGTGTTTATAGACATATGAAGCAGCAGTTTCTGATACAGCAGTTAGGGTGGCTAATGTCAGAGCATGTAATCATGAGGAATTGAATATCAGGACAACTGCTGGGAAAACAGGCTGGAGGTCATCTGGTATAATGATGGCTGGTTTGAAAGGCTGGTATGGAGTTTCCTGTTGGCTTAATTAATGTTGGTCTTGTTTATTGACTCTTTTAAATGGAAATGACCTTCACTTTAAAGAAGTGTTTTGGATAGGAATTTTCCAGGTGTTTTAAGATGTTGCTATTGATGCATCAAAATATGGAAAGGGATGGAGTGGAAGAGCAGCAATTTGGGGTGCACATAGAGAAGGCAGAGAGCAAAGAAATATGTGGAACCATGGCATTTCTGTCTTCCTCTACTCTGGCTCATCAAATGGGGTTTCTGCTGCTATGAGGGATAGGAGGGGACCCACACAACTCCAGGGAATGAAAATGCTTACTGAGAAGCCACTCATCTCCCATTCTTTCCACAATTTCCCAGGCAACTCTTGGGCCCACCAGGCGGTTCCCAGTCAAAAAAACTCTTAGTTTAACTATTTTGATTGTATAAAAATAAGTAAATACTTAAATGTATATGTTCCACTGTTGCAGCATCTTAGATTGTAAGGGCAGATGTAAAGCAATCTGTAGCTGCTCCTGTATTTACCAGATTAGACTTTTCAAGAGGGTCCCTTGTTTCTAAACTTTTTCTGTAATTACTCTGATGCTGATTGCACTACAGTTGCTTTGTGTACCTTAGGCACTTTTCTAACATTGAAGCATTTGATGTTCACTACATTTCAAAATTGGGAATCTGATGTCATCAGACAACTGAAAAGTTCTCTGCCCTTAGCTCTTATGACTCCTTCTTTGTAGCTCTTGATTGGGTGGCATTATCTAGTTCTCTCTGTACTGTAATTGTCTCCTTTTTTGACAATCCTTGCCATTGTCACCCCTCCACTCTCAGCTGTGCTGCTAACAACAGAAGAAATGAGATTGCAGTCTCCAGCTCCTGTCAGACCTATATTAAAATACATTCCCATTCTCCATCCCCTTAGAAATGATTATGTTCCTTTTTCCCCATCTCTCTCCTGGCATGGTGTTTTGTTATTAAGTCTGTGTTTTACCCTCTGTCTGTAGAGCTTATGTATGAAGATGCATTCATTACTCTCTGAAATATTTTATAGCTCAGCATTCATTACTTTCTTATTCCTTTAATCATCTTTATTGATCCCAGCATTGGAAGGTTCTGGTGTAAAGTCTGTTGCTGTTGCTTGTACCAGGAGCTGCTGCCATGAAAAGTTTAGCTGAGAAAGCTACTGAGATGGGTTTTTGTTTGTTTGTTTGTTTGTTTAATTTCTATTTTTTAAACTATTCCTATTTTCTTTCAGTGCCTTCTGCTGCTCACTTCTGCTCTTCTCTACAAACACACTTAATCATGATGGCCTCTCTTGCCTGTTTCCCTGTTAAGTTGCAACATGGATGGATTGTTTGTCTCTGTTTTGCTGCTGTCTTGCGCTGCAACCTTTGCGCGGTGGGAGAACACAGTAGCTTACCCCATTGGAGCGTTGCCAGCCAAAGGTATGGCATGATGCACCAGTAATGTGGAGCATGCAGACTCCCAACATGGTTTCTTTTCTACCATGGGCCTGCTACGTTGGACAGCACTGAGGAGATTTTGCATATTTCTTGCTTTACTGAAGTAGGTTTTCTTAATTCACTTGGACTAGAGTTCTGAACCCTCCCTCCAACCCCCCCCCTCAAAAAAAACAAACAAACAAAAAAACCAACCCCAAAAAACAAAAAACCCTAGAAGACTGAATACTTTGTGTGTGTGTGTGTGGTTGGCCATCTGGGTTTTCATATCTCCTTCTATGTCCCCAATGGCAACTATTTGCATTACCCTTTTTGGCATGCTTTCTAGGACTATAGCCAGAAAAGACTCTGATCCTACAGGCTGTTTATTAGTCCTTGACAGAAAGGAAACCTACCCTAGCCACATTTAATGTCATTACTAGAGCTGAAAGCTTCACCACTGGCAATATCTCCTGCATAACTGACCCTTGTAAGGTGATTTTATTTTAGGATGTATAGCCTCATTTATGAATATGCTAATGAGGCTATACATAGTCACATAGGGAGTGACTCTCCCTATGCCTGAAGAAGGGTGTTTGTGCCTGAGAGCTTGTAAAGAACAATTTTTTCCAGCTATTTAGTCAGTCTAATAAGAGACATCACATTGACCCAAAGAACCTTGTCTGTCTATTAGTACTGCATATTTCATATTCCTCGGTCTCGGTTATGAAATATCTGACTGAACAGGGCTCAGAGGAGTGAGGGAGGATTTTCCAAGTCTCTTGCTAAGCTGGTAGCCTATATTGTGACTGCATACATAATTTAATAAACTGCATGCCTGAAGTCTAGTCTTCCCTTTTTTCTTCTGTTGAAGTCCCCGGTTGTGTCAAAGCATCATTAAGATCTCTCACCTTAATCAAAGGTGTTGAGGGCAGGGGAAGGTTTGAATAATGAATCAGTGCATCTTTTAATTTCAACTACTAACTAGTGAATTTTTGGTAAATAAGCATTAACAGAAACAAATTTAAAAAACGCAGTATTGTAAGCAGTCTGATCTAAAACTTCTCTCAATTTATTCATCTTTTTACTCTCTCGGCTTTTCTGCTGTCCAATTTTACCAAATTGTCACTATCTTCAGAGCAAGCAAGATCCATTTTTTAGGTGTAAAAAAACAGAACAACCCCCTTTTTGGGGTGTAGTAAAGTGAAAGAGAAGAGGGAATCTTTCAGATCTACTTTGTAATATCAAATCCAAAGAAAAAGGTCAAGTCATTTTTCTCTCTTTTCTGTGAACCTTCAGTTTTCAGTCTATACTTCCCATTTTTCATTTTCCTAGCCATTTTAATTACATTATCAATTTCCCAAATAATTATTTCATATCAAACTTGTTATATAGTCTGATATCAATTATGCAGTATCTATTGTACTACATAAGATTCTTTGCTACAGATTAAACATTTCAGCAGAATATAATGCTGGAAACTAACATGTATAGTCCACCTTAGTTCATATCTAAGATATCTCAGTAACTGATTGCTTCAGCCTCTAAGCTGTACTGAAGGAGGGCTGTGTTGTTGACTGAAAGGTATATACATGCAATGGGACTGCTAGTTAGTTAATAAAATAGTTCAGATGGAAGGGAATTTATAATATTACAAGACCGTATAGAACTTACATGAGTATAAACATGCCAAAATACAAGATACTATGTGTTTTTAAAATGATAGAAACTTGTCTGGTATTATCTGAGAAATAGTATGGAGTTAGTTTGTGGGGTATTGAGTATATATGTGTATGTGCAAATTGAATTGTGTTTTAGTAAGTGGCATAGTTTTCATTCAGCCCCATCTTTAGAATGCAAACATATTACGTTTTAAATTATACCTTGTGAACTAACATCACATTCAAGCATGTAGAACGTTATCTTTTTGCTAAAGGCAAAAACTCCATTTTATAAAATGTTCTGTCTTTACCAGACTTTACCTTTGGGCAATTACCCAAAATGAAATTCTAAAAGTTTTTGCATTTTTCTTAATTTTGCACAACACTCTTAGTTAACCCAGGTCAGATTTTTCTCCTTCCTTCTGTGCAGTCAGTTTCCTTTAGGTAACAACTTTAATTCTACATCTGTGGGAGAAGAACTCCGTGAATTTTGCCTTGCAAATTTTTTTTAATCCTACTTAGAAATATCCAGTCAGAGGATACAGGCTTTAAAAAGAGGGCATGCTGCTTTAAATGAAAGTAATACTAGAAACAAACATTGCATTTCTTCCTAGACTAGGTGGCTGTGTTTGTTCCAGAACAGAGATATCCTGGAACTGGTGTATACACGCATTGCCCTTTTAGGTTAGAGACAGACATTACACACAAGCTGTATTAAGAGCCTCTTGGGGGTGGGGAGCAGGAGCAGGGACTGGGGTTATTCCCCCTCCCTCCAGTGTACAGCAAAGGGGACAGGAGGGGGCTTATTCTGTCACTTGCCCCAAGCAGGGAGTAAGTGGTGGTGGTGGTGGTAGCAGTTGGGGCAGGCAGACCTGGCTGCGATCCCTTGGGGATAGAAGGGGGAATAACGCCCCCTCCCAGCCGCCTCTGCCTCAGGTGCCATGCCAGCCCCCTGCTGCAGCAGTGAGTGGGGACTGCCTGGCAGACCCTGCTTGGGTCCCTGCTGGTGGGACAGGGAGTTGGGAACGAAACCTCTCTCTGGCCAGTTCAGCCCAAGCTGGCCGTGCCCCCCCTCCTCAGTCCAGTTCCTCAGTCCAGAGGGAATGTCTATACTGTTACAGACCAGTTCAGCCTAGGCAGGTTAGACTAACCTGCAAAGATTTAATCAATTCAGGCTCCAGCTTTTTGAATGTCTGTCCCTAGCCCTAATGAGGGTTTAATGAGCAGCTGAATGCATTGCCACTTTTCTCTTATTGATTCAATGATGCAATCTTGGGATAACTGTTCAGGGGCACTTTGTGATGTCTTGGGATAAACTGTTAATACTTCTTATCCCATGTATTTTTTTTTTTTAGGGTTTATCCTGGGACGGTGAACATGGACATCTGAATGTTTGCATTTTGTCCCAAGATAAAATGATTTTTCCTGGGACTAATGCAATGTGTGTTTGTAGCCTAATAGAGTTATATAACACAGCTTTACTGAAAAGACACATACATCTATAATAGAATTCTGTTTCCCTTTCTGTGTCTAAATAAGTTTCATAGATATCTACCTGTTTGGTTTTGGCCCTTACTTTATATTTTGGATGCATAAGTCCCCCTCTCCCAACACTTCTCTGGTGCTCCTTTTTGAAGTTGAGCCACTGTCTCTTGCATTTAATGGCTTGAGGCTAAACTGGATGATGTGCAGTGCAGTAGCTTCCACCCCACTCAGAGCAAGGATCTAGCTTAGAACCAAGGGTGTACTCCTTTTTAGGACAGCAGCCAACTCTCAAAGTCACACAACCCTCCAGCTTCATTTCTTCCTCCTACCTCTACATTTTGTTCTCTCTTTGCTGCCCAGGGGACAAGCTTCAGAAGGAAAGCTAAAGAGAAGCCAGAATGGTGCCTAGTCTGTGGTGTGGCAGCTTGGGCACTATGCTGAGAAGACAGAAAGCTGCAAGTTCAAGCTCTTTTTGGGTAAACGAAGCCTACAGTGAGTGTCCAAAACATGCAGCACTTGGGGCTGAAACATAGCATATTTCTTCTTTCTCTACCAAAATCTAACACCTGCTGGTCATGCCTTTTTGGCTGCCTTCATTTTTGTGACTTGGATGCAGATATTCACTCGCCATAGGGCATGCCCCTATATATCAACTTATGCATGCACAGCCAGTCCATAGCATATTGCATGGTCAGTCTACACATGCCAGCTTATACAATCACATTGCAGGGGTAATAGAATCACAACTGGTACATAAGTGGTATTTTTGGCACTTACGCAGCTCAGAAGTTGTTGTCTGTGCACACAAAGGGAAATAGATTGCAACCCCTAGTATGGGGCTTATCTTGCTCTTTGGATAGATAAACAATTATAAACTATTGCTAACTTACTGTATTATTTTCTACGTAGCCATACTTGTATTTGCTTACTGTCTGTGCCTTTGTGCATTTGAAAAGGGCTTGTTTTTAATGCTATTCTGTTGTTTTTCATTTTTGCCTTCTGTGTCCATTTTGTTTTGTTTCTGTGAAATGATTTTGTATGTGTGTTCTGATTTCATTTCAATGACTAGAATACCACTGTGTATCCTGGGGAAACAGTGCTACCATTTCACTCCTATCATGAATGCATGTTCTGAGTAAACTCGCTTACTCTACCACTTCATGATTTTAAGCAATTTGAAAATAAATGTTGGTTCTGTCTAAAGCTTTGTGTTTTTTTTGTTGCTTCCATTTATTTTCTGTCAGTTTTTTTTTTTTTTTTTAATACAGGAAAACAAAATGTTGATTTTTATTTAGATCAGTTACATGATGATAAAAATAGTTTTATTTCATTGGGATTTGTGATCATTGCATCTTATCTCTTCACGTAACTTAGAGGAAAGTCTTTTTTGTGGACATGGAGGTTGGATGGGGCTCTTGAGTCAAACAGAGGGTCTTATTCTACCTCCTTTGACTCTCCAGTAGAAGCAGGATCAGTTTCAGAGAGCGAGTGAAGCCCGAATCCAACCCATTTGGGCTAAGTACAGATTGGCAAAAAGCCCGAGGCTGAATTGATTCAATCTTCGCAGGTTAGTCTAAGCTGCATAGATTGAAGTGATAAGCAAGTAAACAGACATAGACTTTTGATTCCAGAAATGCAGCCACATGTCTGTAGTGGCCCGGGCCAGAAGCTGGGGAGTACTAGAGCACACCTCCCTGCTTGGCTGGAGCAGACAGCTTGGGCCAAGGCTAGCTTGCCCACCCTGCAAGGAGGTGGGGGAGGTTGCTGTGGAGGTGCAAAGCATCCTGGGATGGTGGGGGATTGTGAGTTGACTTGAATCTGGGACAGAAGTTCAGTAAGCTGATTTAACTTACATCGGTTAAGTCTGATATGACATCCATCCACGTTTATCTTAAACTGGTTTTGGCCATTTTGAAAATGGTTTATGTGCACTGAACTTCTGTTCTGTTGCAGATTTGAACTGGTTCCCGACCACTTATACCAGTTTATATGCAACATCTATCCCTAGCCTTGGTGGTCTAGTCTGTTTCACTAACTGCTCACTCAATAAATGGATGTTAAAATGCAGACACCAGAACAAACCTATCTTGACAGGACTGCAAAGCAGTAGTGGGTTCACTCTATTTCCAAACTTCATTCAAACAAATGCTGAAGCCAGGGAAATGTAACACTCCCATCTGTCAGCCCTTGGCTCGGCCTATAATTGTGTGGCTGTGAGGGGATTAATTGCCTGATTCCTCTGGGCATGATTAATATGGTGTTGTCTGTTCTACATAGTAAGTGGGAAGGAAGAGAGATTGGTTTCATCTTTCATTAAGTTTATTATTTTTTCCATTTGACTGAAGTCTTTCTTGGTGGCTGATGTGAATGGAATGAGCTTGCCTATTGTGACTGCCCCCGACACTACTTCTGTCCTTGCCAGCCTCAGCAATTTGCTCAGTGATTGAAAGTGGAGTGGAAATTGAAGAGAAAGGTAGTGTAACTTATGTTCCAAAAACACTGATGCTGGGTGGGCATATTTTCTGGAAAAGGTGCCCCATAATAATATATTTTAATGTATTAGTTATTATTTAATTATTTTAATTTAATTAAAAAATATATATTTTTGTCCTGATTTGTGTGTTTGTGCTGTATATGTAGAAGTGATTACATAGTGTGTGTGTGGTATTGTGGGTATGGGAGCCACGGGATGCAGAGCAGCCAGTGGGTGGGCAGGAAAGTGGGGAAGGTGGGGGCAGGGAAAGTGCAAGTGAGCAGGCGTGCGGGAGTTCAGGGCCTGCACTGATGTCCCAGGGCCAGCGCTGGTGGGCCCCAGAGCAGGGCGGTAGGAGCATGGGGTGTAGGCTGGCAGGGGTATATGGTTGGGAGTCGTAACCTTTTTATACTGCGGACCTGCAAACTGTATAATTTACAGATTTAAATTTAATTCATATGTTTAAAATTAATTTTTATGGGGGAGGGGGTTGTGAAGATTGGGTTGGGGCACCAGGGGGCCCTGCAGGGGAGAGGGCCACACAGGCGGTGGCCTGGGGAGACCCAGCTGGGGCTGGCCTAGAAGAATGGGCTCTGTTTCCTTTCCTAGGATCAAGCAGCAGAGCCAGCTCCCCGTCCTCTGCCCGGGCATTTTCCCACCCAAATCCCCCTGCTCCCAGCTGTGGGTGGGGCTGGAGGGTCCTGCCCGGCCTGGTGTGGGCCCTGGTAGCTGGTGCACCGGGGCCCCGTCTGTGAAAATGGGGAACTTGTGTGCCACACAGCGGATGCCAACAAAGCTGGCATCATGGACTGCCTTGACCATATTGGCCCCGTTGTCACTGACCATGAACCCGTGGGTGAGTTCGCCCTGCCCAACAAGCCACCCCTGCATCATGCAGTTCATGGCCCCCATTGATCAAGTGTGAATATAACAAACGTTTTGGCATACACTGAATGCCATATGCATAGACTTGTAAGTGATTAACATCAACCAGTGTTGAGACACAGCAGCTAAATCAAGAAACACTACAAATCATCAGCATTTATAATACATTTATATAAAATCATTCACATCTGTATGTCCTTCAGGATTTAGAATACAGTTATCACAGCTCCAGAAAATCTTCAAGAAGGAAGGAGCACTTGTCTTATGGCTGTTGGCTAAAGGAGGGTAGGGTTATAGCAGGACCAGATGGTGGCACTGCTGTGATAATTTCTAGGTATAGCATTACAGGCAGTTCAGTGTTAAAAGTAATTTGATTAAAAGGTCTCTGCTGTAAGCTGTGAGGGTTAGAAGGACCACTCTGCTGTTTAGTCACGTGGTGGCTGTTGGAAACAGTATTACGCTATCAGGGACACTGATACACATGAGGCTGGAGTCAGCAGGAGTGCAGTAATTACCATGCTCCAGCAGACTTGATTAGTTGAGCCTGCACTGATGCACTGTAATTACAGCACATCGGAGCAGGCTTGCTGCATGTGTATCAGCACCCAGGAGGATCAGTTGATAAGTTGTGGTTGTTGTTTCAATATTCTAGTGACTCTACAGGTGAGACTTTTGTATGGAGATCCCAGCCCAGACAATGAATGTAGGCCATGTCCAAATGTACTGCCTTCACTTATAGGATGAGAAAGTGGTCTCTGGGATTTACCAAGTCTCCTGGTGGCATTCTGTTACACTAACCCAAAGCTTAGCCATACTGGTTTTAGTCACCATCTGGGAACAGGTTACAGTGGCAGGTGAGAGAGAGAAACACTTTTCAGACCAGGGTTATTAGCATTGCAATTCTCTCCCCTCTGCTCTGATACCAAAGCAAAAATTACCTGAGTAATTTTTGTGATATGGACACGCGTGCTAAGAATATATTGAAACCACCATCTCACTTCACATATGACCCCCCAAATAAGTGTAAAATGGCTTTTTCTGGCATTACTGATGTGAATCTAATTTAATATGTTCACTGACGGGAAAGGGACTCCTCAGTTTATGTTTTGAGCCAGTCAGTTATTCATGAGAGTTTTGAAGACTTTTAAAAACTGCTGGCATTTAAGCCTTGTCTACACGGGAAAGTTTTGCTCATTCTAAAGTTTATTGCTATAATTTACAGTCCTCCAATGTGGATGCAGTTATGCTGGTATCTGGGTGCTTTGCAAAGCATATAACTACATGTGTACTTGGGCCTTTGTCATTTCAACTATATTGGTAAAAATTGCCTTGAAGTTTATCATAGTTAAAATGATACAATGTTTTGGGTACAGATCAGGTCTTAGAAATACACTCTGGAGAGAGAGCTTTCAGTGGCATCTTTTGCTGTCCCCTCCTAAAGAGTAATATGAAATCATGGATTTAAAGAATACTTTAAATCAGGAGTGGGCAAAATTCAGCCTGCGGGCTGAATCCAGCCCACCAGGCCACTCTGTCTGGCTTACAGGGCCCCTCCAAAAAATAATTACCACCAGCGTGCAGCTGCTCCTCTGAAAACCAACAGGAGGCAGGCTTTCAGAGGTCATGCACCATTGGACTCTGTGGGCTCTGTGCTTCCACCTCTGTGGGGCTCCTGTCATGCCAGCTGGGCGTCCCATGTGGAGGCATTGAGTGTGATAGTGTGCAGCTGGTGAGTAGGGAGGACAGCTCCTGCCTGTGGGGAGTGTGTGTGGGGGGGGGGGGGGGGGGGTGCCCCCGCTAGGTGGCCCGCCCCCTGCCACTGGTGGCAGCAGCAGTAGCCTGGTCTGGGTCAAAGGTGCATGGCAGCAAAACGGGCTGGGCCCGCTTTGTGCCACCACGTGCATCTCCCAGGGTTCAGCAAGGAGCCATGCGCTGCTGCGGGGCTCTGTCTGCCATGGACCAGAAGTGACCCCAGGGCCTGCTGCTGCTGCTGCCACCAGTAGCAAGGGCTATATGCCATGGCGGGGGCGAGGGGGCATGTGGTCAGGGGCCCACACACATGCATCAACCCACCCCCCTACAAACAACCCCATACCCCTTCACAACTCTTCCCACCAAAATGCTCTTGGTTGTTTCAGACAACCAATCAGAGTGCGAATAAAGAATTATGGACAGACAGACAGACTAAGGTTTTATAATATTAAAATACTGGAAAAACTTAAAGGATTTTTGGTTTGGGAAAAGCATAACTAAACAGGGTATTTGAAGACTGTCTGCAAGTGATTGCCGAAGAAGAAGGAAATTTGTTTAGATTTAGACAAAAGTATGCTGGTAGGAAAATGAGCTGGAATTAAGCTAAGGCAAATGTGATCAGAAAACTGGGAAAATGTCTTCGCTGTGAGATCTGTGATCTTGTGGAACCACTTCCTCAGGGAAATGACATAAACTTCATCATTCTAGTTATTTAAAACCAGCTGGGTGAAGAGCAGACTGCCACTGTAACTTTGCAGCTTCTGCAGACTCCTGTCTCCCTGGGGATTGCTGCTTTGCTTTCTCCCCAAGGCTGGGAGGGGAGTAGAGTTGACATTAGTGAGTACTTCCCTGTCTGCTCCACCTCCACTCTCCTGGAGCACCCTCCCCTGGAATTGGGAGACTAAAAGTTTGTCACAACCCAAAGTTGTGATTTTTGTTTTTGTGTGTGCTTTGGCACCACTGAATTATTTTCCCGCTAAATTGCAGCTTCTTTGCATGGTGGAGTTTTTTGCTGTAAAGGGGGAACCCCGGTGCAAGGGAGAATTTCCCGCCAAACTGTAGCTTTCTTTGCATGGTGCAT